ACACGTACAAGCACGAACTCTCTTGCATATATGCATAAGACTGCACATACTCAGCACGACGGCAAATCGTAATGCTGTAATAATGGATGCACTACCAGCAACAGTTGTCCAGCAGTGCGAGGGATTCAGTGGGGTGTGCGGGGATGTAGAAGGGGTGAAAGGGGTGGAAAAGCCGGTGGAAGAGAGGCGGCAGGGAGGAAACAGAGAGGTCTGATAGGGAAGGGAAACCATTCCCTCCTTGCCCCGTGCGCGACGTCGCTTTCAAGCGCGAAGCTGCGCAATTTGCGTGTAAATATTTCTGTCGGTTTTTACACCGGGGCCGCGTATACACTTTACACTACGCCCGTATAACTCCATAAAACGCGGGAGAACAAGCGGGCACTGACAATACTGACATATTCGCAGGCCCATTCCGCGCGCGCACGCACGAGACGACGGAATGCATAATTTATCGAATACGTAGCGATGTTTTACGCTCGGTCGATAGTCGCGCTCGATTAGTCGCGGCTTAGGTCACGGAAAAGTTGGCATAATCGCGGAGATAAGCGCCGTCGAAACACGGACGCGTGGAATCCGCTTATGCTGATAATACGCGTTTATCATTGTCATACATCATTTCTTCGCCTAATCATTCGATTATTATTAATATATTTATTAACACATCCATTCACTTTAAACAATAAGTATGTGAATTTAATACCATGTTTATATAATTCTTATCACTTTGATGTTAATATCATAATTAAAATCCATATTTATATCAATACTAACACAATGAGAATTATAAATACCGCAGGTATGATGTTAGAGAGATTCACACCTACATATATTATTTCTTTAGAGTATTTATTTTTGAAGTCGAATTATTTTTATTTTAGTACACCTTGTGACTTTTGCGAAATTTCGAATGTTTTTACCGTACGAAAATTTTCGAGCAATAGAATATTCGCAAAAAAATATGTACATATATTATCAGTATCGTAAAAATATAGTAGAATATATTCAGACAGTCTCCTCAAATGTGAGTTTCCGACACCGGATATTTGTTCGCGGAACGGTCACGATTCGCATGTCGGTGCAGAAAGCGTGCTGGGCATTAGCCGCCCTATAATCGCAGTAAAGCGATATTTAAGAGTTTGCTTTTGATGTTATTTTTTATTGCATCATAACGCTCCAGGAGGAGAGGAGGCGAATTGCCGAGCCGCCAGTAAGCCACCGATCGAAAAGGCATATCAACGGCGTCCCTTCGTTCTGTCGACGCTTTATTTATTTGGTCTAGGTCACGTTCTTCGCCCATCAGACGCAAGCAAATGTTTACGCGCACTTCGGGGATGGGATACGTAATGCGGATACGCGTTAAACTGATACGCGACGGCGGCGTACGAAACGATACGATGACGGTGGTGGTGTACGAACTGTACGACGTCGTAAACGAATCCCGACGGTGCAGAGTGGTGAACGGCGTCTGTGCCAGCGTGCACGTGCGTCAGACGCACGTGCGTGTCCTATGCGGATATGGAGAAGCGAAACGAAAAAGAACGAGGGAGGGAGGAGGGGGGAAGTATCCAACGAAATTCGCGACGCGGCTGCATTTTATTACAACGTTTAATCGTTAACTTGAACGGTGGAACTTATTATTTGACTTTTATAAGCAGTAAGAAATTTTAATTATCTTTAAATCAGGAAATTGAATGTTCAAAACGCGTTCTTATAATCCATTTGATTATCTCTGATATTTAAAAAAAAAGAAATAATTTTAATTAATTAACAAATCTAATAGATTTTTTCGATTTTTTTTTTTTTTTTAACACCTTTTAATCGATTATTATTGATTCTTTTTTTCAACATTGTTTGATAATGTACTGGCTTCGCGAGTCACAAAGTCGCTAGCAATTACCAGGGACTAAAGCGGAAAGTCGCACAGACATTTACACGAAAATAGATTATTGGAAAACCGTTCAAGAGCGCTTAAGAATTTCGGCGGCGCCGCATGGTGCACGATGAGTAAAACGAAGACGGCGAGGTGGCACGATAACGGCTGTGAGAAAATTCCACAACCTTAGTGTGTACTAATAGTTCAAGCGAAGGATAACGTGGAGATGCTTTAAGATCAACCATGCCTTAAGATTCGAGAATAACTTAAAATAAAACTAAAATTGCATAGCTATTGCTTATATAAAGTATTTTTCTCTAGGATAAAAAGCAAGAGTGCAAATTTATATTGATATACGTAGGATACGTAGATATGCTTCTAAAAAAGATGATTTTCTTAGGAAATATTTAGATGGTGAAAAGAAGAAGTATAAATATGGAAGTGTATATTTATATAATCCTCAAC